ACACACACACACACACACACACACACACACACACACACAGTACACTACCCTACCTCACATGTTGGAGCTCAGCGTTTGTCTGAGCTGGGGCAGTGCTCCGCTGGGGGAGATATCTGAGAGGGGAATCCCGCCGTAAGCCGGCGTGTAGGTCGGCGCCGAACCTCGCCATACAGCTGGGAGAATCACCTCCTCTCGGGATGAAACATCCACTACCACTACTTTGACGGGACTAATTACCATAGCGGTTGATGTGCCTGAAAACATGTATCAGTCAGTGAATTAATCAGCAAAACAATATCAGCAGAGTACTTTCTCATTTCTTAACTGTCTCTGTTTAGAAGTTTTAATAATTAGTTATATTCCTATTCTATTGCCTGTGTAATGTTTTAGTGATCTTAATAATTTCTCTGTTCTGTGTGTCTAAACATCATGTAATCAAAAAATAAAATAGTTGAACGTTCAGGTCGGTAAAAAAATGTTTGCAAAGAAACTTAATTGTTATTTCTGTGGCTCTGTTTGGTTTTAACGATCGTCCGCCTTCAATTGAGTTCCACTTAAACATACAGTCCACTCTATAAATTTATAGGTATTACCACATACCAGCCATATATCCTCATTCAAATCGATCGTTTCTGTTGTGTGTTTTTTTTCAGAAATGTGAAATACGCGATCGAGAGCGACGTTTCGAGTATTTCGGAGAGCGCTTTGTTTTGTTTTGCGCGAGGTGTTTTTGTTCGCGAGAGTTATTTTCATTTCATTTCACGCCAAAGTAATGGGCACCGCGGGCGTCCATATGATTTAAAACATTACGTTTTCGCGTTCCGCCGCGCCCGATCCTCCTACGCCGCTGCACCGCGCGATCGTTCACTCCGCAAACGCGCAGGTCTTGGTCCCCGTTCCGCCATGACGCCCTCGCGGTCGGCCCGAGCTCGCTCGCTCCCTCGCGCTTAACCCAACGCAAACTGGGGAGCATGTGAGGTTGCTCCCCCTGGTACACACAGCGTGGTTGGAGCGCTGAATGATGATTGGGTCCAATCAAAATAGACGCGATGATGCGGGAGCGGGGGTTTGGTAATGGGAAATAGAGAGAGCTCTTATCTGTATTTTGAATGATGATAGTTTTTCCTTTGTACTCGTGGTTTGATCGTGGGCGCTCTGGTGTGAAGGGCTGTTCTTTAAGCGTCGGCCTCTCTTTTCGGTATATTTTTTTCATTTTTTATTACATGCGCACAGACATTAAATTCGCTTATTTTGAAAATATCAACAAAAATTGGATTGTTTACTTTTCGGTTTGCTACTCTGTCGATTTACGTGTTAAATTATTTTAAACGAACCCATTTGCAAAATTTGCTCAAATTCTTTTTCATATAAAATAATTTTTAGAACCTAACTTTTCTTGCATTTCAGAAGTTTTAAATTCATATAGTTGAACTTTGGCTGGCAATATCGTGATTATATAATTATAAGTATATTAAATCGTAATTTAATTTTCGAAAAAGAACATATTACTTAAACTAATTAATTTATATTACAGTCAGAATACAATTCGTTTTATTACATTTCCCCCAACATCGTTCAGGAAAAACATCCTCCTCTAAATTCTCTCCTCTTCTTATTGACCCTGCACCTTATTTCCCACTTACGGACTAGAAGCTAATGTTTACTGCCCAGACGATGTGATATGAAGTATAAGGCAGTTATTGTTCTATGCTCGGGAGGGGAACCCAAAAAAAAGTCTCGGCAGGTTTCCTTCGCTCGCCTCTCCCTCGTGATTGGGCAAGTGGCGCGGTGCGGCGGCCGGGCAGCGTGGCTGACGGCGGCGGCGCGGGCGCCAGGGCGGAGGCTGGCCGTCCCTCTCGCCCTGGACCCCCGCGAGCGTTATTACAGCGGGGACACGCGGAGCGTAAAAAGCCCCGGCGACGGCGGCGGCGGAAGCGGAGGAGAGACGTAGGTGGCAGCGGAGATGAAGGCGTGGGAGGAAGATTCTGCGGGGCAGGGGAGGCAGAGATGGGGGTGGCAAGGTTGACGGTGAAATGAGAGGCGGAGTCAGGGCCGGGGGAGAAGGCTTAAGCGAGGAATATGAGAAGCGGCGGCGGAAGGGGAGGTGGGGGCGGCGGTAGCGGTGGAGGACAACGGGGGTGAGGCAGAGACTGTCGAGATGGGGGAGAAGGCGGCGGCGGAGGAGAAGGAGGAGGAGGAGGAGGAGGAGAAGGAAGAAGAGGAGGAGGAAGTGGAAGAGGAGGAGGAGGAGGAGGAGGAGGCGGCAGTGGCGGCAGCGGAGTAGAGTCAGGGGCTGCGGATATGGTGGCGGAGGGCAGAGGCTGTGGAGAAGAGTGGGAGGCGGAAGCGGCGACTGAGGGGGAGCGGAGGCGGAGGTGGCGCCGGCGGCTGCCGGACGATGATGTGCGTCGCGGGCAAATGGTGTGCGAAAGTGGAGGATGAATGCCAAAGTGCCATTTGTTCCGTCCAATACGCTATACGTCACCTTGTTGTTATTGCCGCCGATCGAAGAGGGTTGTCGTTCTTATAAAGGTCGTGGGTTAAAGAAGAAAGTTTTTCTTTCGTTCGTTTTTTCCTTGTACGAATGGTTGGCAATTTCGTGGCCGGTGGATGGAAGCGAGGGTTACCGAAATTGCCTATATGTAAGGAGTAAGTAGGCTTGTGACTCAGGCTAGATGGAGTGTGATGTCGCTATATACGGTTGTTGAACTCGACGGGTTGATGCTTTAGAAGAACTTTTGTAGAATCAATAGAACAAAATAGAATGTACGATAAAAGATAAACCCAAGGGAAATAAAATTAGATGCAATGAATGAAACGAATATTGTGAGGAGGGAATGTTTCCATGATGCGCCGTAGTCGTTTGCTGTTGTGGTGAAATGAAGCAAGAGAAGTATTATTTTTGCTGTACGTCCTCTTTAGATATGTGTGTATAACGTTTTACAGGTATTCGTGGAAAATTCGTGCTTGCATCATTTAATTCTGAGATATACGCATAAAAATATGGGAAGCAAAATCTCAATCTCGCCTTTCCCTAGCTGAACCAAGAAATACTAAGTGTATCTCTTCACTTGAAAAGATCTTATTTATTCCTTTCCTCTCAGCCCCATCTCTTTCGCGGTTTCCTCTCTTACTGGGAATTCCCTTTGATAAGCGGAATTCGTGCGAAAGGCTGGTTCCTCATCTCGTTTGATGCCCGCCTTTTCATTGAAACCTAGTGCAGCTTGCGTTCTTTGTGGCGAGGGTTGCTTGGCACCCCACAAGGATTATGAAACTGGGCGAGACAAATAAATTAAGTCTCTTTTGGTGGAATTTAAAAAGCGTAATTATTATTCTGAGCTTTTAACAGAAAGTTACGTAATGTTTCGTGCATATTGGATCTCTGCGAAGTTTCTCCAGTGCTTTAGAAATTCTTAACTAGCTCTATATATCTCAGAGTGTGCGCAGGTGCTTGTGCAGATTATAGAATCATAATGCTCTCGTGGATCGCGTTCACATCGCTGGGCGTAATGGAAGGAAGAGAGATGAAGGTTGCAAAGGAGAGAAATGGTATACATTTTGGCACCATCCATCGATTGTATGCGTAAGGAAGGATCTTTTACGAGGCGAGTTGCGTCGCTCTTCCCCCTCTGACATTTTTCACCTCAAACCCGAGGAACTGCCACGCATAATCACATCGTGAGTTGGAGTAACTCGCAAACGTCGGTACTAAGTGAGAAAAATTGCGCAGAAAAATCCACTTGGCAGCGCAATTTGTCGCAGTCAGGGACGCAAGTTCGAGGGGGGAGAGAGTTTACCGGCGTGATTAATCGGTCAGGGGAGGATGGTCCATCCGGACGTACTGTTTCACTCAACACTTACTATTAGCAGTCGACCGCACAGGGGGACCGCTCAACCACAAATATGAAGTCCTTATATTCCGGCGGTAACCGTGTCTACCCGTGACGACGAAGGGCCCGTTGACAAGGGGCGCGTTATTTGGAAACAGACATCCCTCGGAGCTTTTAAATGCTCAAGCCGTGCGTCAGTTCTGGACGAAGTTTCGTAAAATGAAGCGAAAACGAAAAACTTCCGTTTTTTCACGTATCGTTCATGACCTCATGCTCATCTCTCAGCCACTTGCTACAACAATGCCTTTGCTTGTTCTGTACACACCTACCATTTGAGTATCGTTAGTGTTTTATTTTTCTTGCCCCCCCCCCCGAGAGAGATGGATACAAAAAAGGGCCCCCGGAGGACAAATTCGAAGGAGGCGGCATCTGCGGCTGGAAGGCGGAATGCGTGACTTTCTTTCTGCCGGTCGCCAGCCGCGCCGCTGAGATGCACGCGGGTGTTTGGGGAGGATATCTCGACGAGGGCGAGAGCTCTGTGATCTCCTCTCCCTCGGGCGGTGCGCGGCAGCCGGAGGGGGGAGGGGGATGAGGGGAGAGGCGCGGCTGTCACTTCCGCGGCCCGTGGGGAGAGGCGCGCGTGCGACCGTCCCTTGGTCCCCCTCCCCTCCCCTCTCCGCCTCCTCCCCGCCCCCGCTGCCTCCGCCGCCGCCGTCTGCCGTCGCCGCTGGAAACGGCGGTGCGCGATGATTCAGCCCCAGGCCCAGACTCCCTCTCTCACGGCGCTATTGTTCCCTCGGATTCGAAGGCCCTGAGCACAGCAGAACGACCTTTTCTTCATACAAAATCCAGTTAATGCCCTCGACGCCTCGATTCGTTGCTGAGTCTGAAGGCTCTCTGTTCAAATCTTTGTATGCCCTAATGCGAGCAGTAATGCCCGTTGCCTCAAATCTGTTTGTTCTGGTTACTTATCGGGAGGGTTTCCAACAAATGGGAAATCCCACGAGTTTTATTTCGAGTATATTTTCAGTTAAATACAATCCTGCATGGAATAAATAAATGCATCCCTTAATAATCTTACTTTATCGCACCTTTGTTAGAGTGTTGAACTTGGGAGGATCCATGAGATATTTTGGTCATGGGTGGATCCTGCATAATGTGTCTTTGTTACAGGCGTACCCCTCAAGTCAGTTTCGGCCAGCAGTTCTCGATCTACGAGCCCATCAGCGACAGTCCATTCATTTATTCCCACCCCTCGGACTGCAGGGCGCAGCTCTCTAAACGAAAAACACCTGGTTACGAATAGGTAAGTATTAAGGGATGTACATTGTTTTAATTTACGACTTTTGAAAACGTATTTTACACGGAGTATTATATTTATATAATCGAATACACTGTATTTGTATTGAGTATTTTTATTTTCTTGTTCAAAATCAGTAATCAATTTTCTGTTACACTAAATATTTAATGAATTTTAAAAAAAATGCAAATAAAGCAAAACAGGCACTTACAGATCAAAAAATTAGTACTTTTGTCAAGTAATAAAATATTGAAGTCATTATAAGCGATCAACATAGTCGGACTGCAATTTTTTAAAATATTCGTTGTATTCGTTTAGCAACATAATATTCCTTTTCTATACGCTGTATGAGTACGAAAGCGCACAATATTAAGCAATAAATAATAACAACAACAACAACAACAACATGATTCAATGCTCCACTTGCTTTAATAATTACAGTTACAAGTACATATAATTCCGACAATAAATAGGATTCGGTTCACAAAAGTCAGATTCCACTACGTTAACACTGCAAGCGTTATAACCGAACACATCCTTTTATTATTATTATTATTATTATTATTATTATTATTATTATTATTATTATTATTATTATTATTATTTTTAGGCCCTGGTGTAATATTCAGACTTCTCTGTATATTGTAAAATAGCCTTCTCTGTCAAATAACTATTACCCATTTAGTTTTGTTGTTATTGCAAATACGCGCGTAACAAGTGATTACATACTTATCATAGTTACTAGTGTGAAAACCCGTACCATTTCTAATATGTTGTAAATTGAAGTAATGGAAAATTGGTTTTACTTTTGAAAATCTTTCTCTATTTGTGATGCAGTCGGACGTTGTTATACGTGTGCCCGCGTCGTCTGAATTCAGGGATTCAAAGATGATAATAAAGATGAAACACTTTTGAGGACATGTGGTGTAATTTGATCTGAGGAGTTACGTGACAATGCAGAGGCAAATACTGCGATTCATGTTTTGCCGTTTATAACTCTCGATCATTGAAGTTAATATATTACGATCATTTAATTGGCTTTTGAACCGTAACTTGTGTTTGTGTGTGAACTTTGAAAATGGGTTGCTGCGCTGTGTATCAATGAGTTAGGTTAGGTTCGGTGCAAAGCATTTGGTAACATTAAAAACTTCAGCTCACTAACATTACTGATCATTCTTTGATATAACGAAATAAAGGAACTTCGAAATATAATATCATTTTGTTTACTAAGTTTGCAAGCATTACAATTTAGAAGAACTTGATTATAATATTTAACTTATGTTTGGACGATGGCCGTGTGAAGGAATTAAACATTGTTTGGAATTACAACTACCTTTACCTCATAATTAATAATATCATTAATAATATTGTAAATATTCCAAATTTTGTTGAAAGTAAACATTTCAGACTAGCGCATGATTAAATACACTCATGAAGGCATTCTGTGAAAACATTTTAAAATTAAGTTAAATTTCATATTTTTTTGAAAATTCAGAAACAATGTCAGCCACTTTACGCCCATACTTGACTGCTGTAAGACATACACTTACAGCTGCTGTGTGTTTACAAAATTTTTCATCACAAGTAATAGAAAGGCACAATAAACCTGAAATAGAAGTCCAGAGCAGCAGAGAAATTTTACTCACACCTGTAGTTATAAGCCGCAATGAAAAAGAGAAAGTATTAATAGAAAGTTCAATTAATTCTGTGCGTATCAGTATTGCTATCAAACAAGCTGATGACATAGAACATATTCTTTGTCACAAGTTTATGCGATTTATGATGATGAGAGCAGAAAATTTTATTATTTTGAGACGTAAACCAGTAAATGGTTATGATATCAGTTTCCTGATAACAAACTCTCATACTGAACAAATGTACAAACATAAACTTGTTGATTTTATTGTGCAATTTATGGAAGAAATTGATAAAGAAATTAGTGAAATGAAACTTGCTGTAAATGCACGTGCAAGAATTTGTGCTGAAGAATTCCTAAAACGTTTCTAATTTTTATTTGTTTGGAAATGTGAAAATCAAATGTCTAAATTGTTTAAATCAGAGAATATTTTAAGATTTTAATGTTAATAAACCTGTAAATATAGAATTAATTTTCTACAAAATGAAAAGCAAGTTTTATAATTTTTAGCTAATATTTTAGTGTCTCTGAAGAAAATATAAATATATTTTAATTGTAAAAGTATGAAGCAATTTCACAAATGAAGGTATGTAAATAGATGATTCAGTAATATTGTGAAGCAAAGAGAGCCCTTAGAGATTAGTTTTTGACTTTATTTATTGTTCATAATTTAATTATACAAATATTTTGTGGAACTGCTATGATTTGGCTAATAGTATACTTTTGTAAGAAAAAACTACAGGAAAAGAGCCCTCTTCTATGTCTATTAAATGTTGTTTAATTGAACTTCATATCTATTTTATTTACACATGCTTTAAATCCCCTTCTTTCAATAGAAGAAATGCCAAAGTCTAAAGTCAACCACCTTATTTGACAGGATTGCCTGATCTCGCATTGGCCCACAGATGTGTTGTTATGTCAATTTTGTAAAAGTGATTTTTTAAATGAAACTTTTGTTCAACAGCATTACCAAATTAAGTAACTAAAAGTAGTTTTACTATTAATGGATAATAGTTTTACTATAATTAACCATAAATAGTTGAAAATTGAGAACTTCTTGCTTCCATAAACTTATCTGCCAAGAAAGAAAGCCATTCGTCAGCCATTTTGTTAAAATTAATATTGTCATTGGCCTTGTTATAATTGAGCTACAAATGTTCATTACTAACATTAAGTAATAGTAGTAAGATTTTGTTAATGTGTTAAATTGTGTATGTTGCAGTGTTCGGAGCAGTACACCGTCTTCAAATGGAAGTCGTTCGTCATTGCGAACACCTTTGAGTAATCAGAATAGTCCATATTCTCCTGCGCCAACAGCTCAGCCACCCACAAACAAGAATGCTATGCTTGATAAATTAAAAATATTTAATTCCAAAGATAAAATAGATAGAGTAAAAGCAGGTAAATGTGTTTCTATAAACTGTATTTGAATAATATTTTTCCTACTGTTTTTCTTTGATAGTTTTCTTATGTAGTTTCCAAATGTGTTTTAGGCAATGCTAGTGTATCCAAACGAACATCTAGTTCTAGTGGCTTTAGCTCTGCTAGATCGGAGCAGAGCGACTCCTCCACAAGCTTGTGTGGAGATGCAAGTCCAAAAGTCTGTGCAAGGTATGATATGTGTTTATGAATCTTATTATTGTCTTATGTTTACATGAAATTTGATATCTTCTTTTGATTATGAATAAAATGTACATGTTTTGTTTCAGTACTGGTATTTCTGGTGACAGGGTCGTGTCTTCCATTGCTGCTCCAGCAACGGGAGATGGTTCAAGTCCAAAGAGTCTTGCTCGTGGATTGAGAAACAAACTCGTGAAAGGAGCTAATATACCAAAAGAAGCAAAACAGAACTCTCCTAAAAGTAGTAGAAGAAGTGAACCTAATAAACCGTCCCCCAAATTAATACAAAAAAGTGGCAGTGGTAATGTAAGTGTTAGTAATATCAGTAATAACAAGGAACAGAAAATAGAGAGTGAAAAGTATCAGAATGGTGATAAAGGAAGTCACGAAGAATTTCATTACCAGCCTGCGTTAGAAGTGGACAATCCTATTAAACAGTCCAAAATTTCAAATATAAATGTGAAAACTGAATCCAATATGGCTGTGTCGAAGGCTAAAAGAATAGGTGAGAATGCTCCTGCTGTGCCGATTCGAAGCACACCTGCACCGCCGGCAGGGAGTAGTATTCCCAAGCCAATGGCCGCAATCAAAGGAACAAGTAAACCTTCTGTGATTAAAGAAGAACGTCCAACTCCTCCAGAGCCCTCAACGCCCCTCAAAGACGAGAAACAGCTTGGGAGTCCTATTAAACCTGCATCCCTGCAGGGAAAAGGGTTCGGTAGCGGAGAGAATATTCTACCTCGGCAAAAACATATGGGATGGGAGGACATGAGTAGTAGTGGGTGTGTGAGTGTTGCTTTGGTTTCTCCGATGCCCAGTGTTGCTAGTGACTGTGGTTCGAAAGCCTCTGAATCAAGTAGCTCAACCTCAAACACTACATCAACATCAACTGGTCCTTCAAATTCTTCGGACAGTAGTGTTATATATCAGCCAAGTTCAGAAAGTGGTAGTGAAATGAAAGAGAAGGCATCAAATAAAAAGGTAGAACATCAGACTAACATCAGTATTAACAAACATCCTGGGAAAAAACTTGAAACTACATTTGATAGGTTAGATAAGGTAAGAAATATGTGGAGGGAAATCATAATATTACTCTTTATTATTTAAGATCTTCTCTTGATGGATTTACTTTGAATAATACTCCTTTTGTAAGGTAACTCCCTGAGACTTCTTTTTGTGTTGGCTGTTGGTTTTAGTAAAGCTTGTTTTAGAGAGTTTTGGCTTGTTATTAACAAGTAACTTATTTACAGTTTTGTTTCCAAAATGAATATAAATTGTAAGTGTCCTAAATATTTGTTGAGAGGACAATGTTTTTATTGCAGTCAGGCTGCATGAATTTGCAGTGAAAATGATGTATTGTAATAAGAAACATTTTGAAATATGTATCGATTTTAAATTTTTGAGAGAGGAGCAGTGAAACCAATGTACAATTCCTTTTATAGAAACTCATATGCTTGATAGGTAGATACTTCATTTTCAACATTCTCAAGAAGATTAGTTCAGATTCACCCCTTCTGTATTCTCAACCAAGAACTTCACAATTGAATGACACACTTAACATAATTATATCCATGCTCTTTATGCCTCAACAGCATTTCTCATTACCCTTATTTTCTTCCTGTTTTCCTTCCGTGCCCTCTTTTTCTTTCATCATTTTTTTTTTATTTCACTCTCCTTTCCCCCGTCATTGTGTAGGTCCTTCTTCACTCTGTCTATAATATCTCTCCCTTCCACCTTGACTTCCCATTCCCTACTACACCCTTTCATTACATGTCTCTCCCTCTCAAATATCCTACAGTTTCGTTCCCCCCGTTTTTCTCCATCTAACCTAATTACCCAATCTCAATCTCACAATCCTTATGCTACTATGTTCTATCTTTACTAAATTTAATAATCTTGATCTACTCCAGAATCGTGATGATTTTTCTCTAATTCCCTCCTGCCCTTGTGACTCCCTTTCTCTTCTGCACGTACCAGCCTCCCTCTCTACAGTATTGGTAGCATATAAGTGATTTTGACAGTTCAGTGCACCGTTGCCACTCATTACTACACACATGGGACCACTCACATCACAGATATATTAAATCTCAAAACATTAACATTTACTGACAGTCTGACTCATCTTGATATCATGTTCATAACTTAAGCGAAAGCTCAACCTTATCGCCTCCACAATTTTGTGTGACTCAGATGAGGGACAACGCTGAACCCTGGTTGTAAGAAAGTAAACAAATCCATGCAAGCTGATTGCTTCAAAGCTGGTCACATGACATACCACAACATGTGAGAATGATCAGAGATGCTTATATGCTGCCAGTACTGCAAGCACAACTATCTGGTCTGTTACATACCCTTTCACTAAAAAATTCTTGTCTTTCTTCTTCCCATACAGACTACTTTTGTGCCACTCCCTTTTTTTAACTTCTTTCCAACACCATTTTGCTATATATCCACGTCCCCATCTAGAATCTCATATTTCATCTCTATTCCCAGCCTCCTCTCATTTTTGCTGTATTTGCCTATGTTTTCACCATGTAGCCCAGCAAATTCCTTTCTAATGCCAAACCTCATCTTAGGTATCTCACAGGGAAACCATAAGAAATTCATGAAAATTCATTGGAATTGATACTGAGTTATTTTGAATGTTTCATATGCATGTTAATTTGAAGAAATTTGTTTAGTCCTTGCTGCAATAAGGCAATGTTGCATTTTTCTTACAATTAAAAAAGCAGTTCTTTTTAAATTTTACTTGATTCGAAAATTATTAGTTTTATTAAAATGAACTATTTGAATTAATACCATTTTGGATGTATAAATTATTAGTGTTTTGCAAACCTGAGAACTTAATCACAACAAAGATATTTCTTAAATTTTCTATTTTAAGTAGCCCTTAGTTACAATAAATTGATTTCGTGATGAGAGTCTCAATAAGAAGCTGTAAATTATAAATGAAATTAGTAAAGAGTGATAATATTTAAAATGAATATAGTTATAATATTAAACCACGGTAGTATGTGATATTTAAAGCCAGAATGAAGTAATGAAATTTTTGAAAACTTAAGTGAGAAATTATGATCAAGAATATGTTTAAGTGCTGTGAGAAAATGTACTACCTTGAAGATGAAAGCATAGACTTCCACAGCCAGAGTCAGTAGGTATTTGGGTTCTGGGTGATGCTGTATCCTAGGCACAGATACCAATGTTTTGGCCATCATCCTGTAACCTTCCTCAAGGCGATATCCTGGCAAGGTTTATCTGAGGAAAGTTGCAGCATGACCTTCCAAGACAATTCCTGAGGAAGATTACAGCATGATAGCCAAATTGTTGGTCTCTGGGCCTAGGATGAAGCATCTCTCTGACAGCTAAGAGAATACCTTAAAGATCATTTTATTGCTGATATTTAGAGAGGAGTAGATAGGCTTGTATTTAAATATTTAATTCTCATTCAAAAAATTTGATATTAAATTAAGAGCAGGTATACTAAATTTTTTCCATACAGGTGGTTATCTTAAAGCAGATAACAAGTATTTATTTTGCAAACCTGCAGATGGTAATTAGAAACTTCATAAATATTTATTAAACATAATAATGTTGTGATATTTACTATATCATTGTATTCCTTTTCTGTAGCATAAATATCTCCATACTGACAAAATATTAAATTATGTGGTCATATGTATGATAACTTACTTCATTTATTTCATAAGTTTATTCAATTTTATAAGAAATACTGCAAGGGATTATTGTTTAATTAGTATTTTGTGAAATAAAATAGTTAATAATCATTGTGACTGGAACTGAAATTGCCTTTATATTATGATGACATTATCTTTGAAGTGTCATAACAGTATTGTTATAAAGTATTGAATCAATAATTAAGTAAATAATTATTGTTTCTCATTGTTAAAAAAAACTTATTAATTCATCTACAAATCCAATCAATGGTTCCTAAGAGTCAGATAGAGTGTCCTTTTATCAACTAATTTTTCTTTAAAATGAAATGTGGACAGTAAGATACATGTTAGAAGTAATTTTTGAATGTTAATTGGGACAACTCCCAAACTAATTCCAATGTAAACATGAAAGCCATGTTTCAAAATTTGAATGAACTCGGTTAAATGGGAATGCTGCTTCATTGCATTTGAAATTTTCTTAAAATATATTTGTTAAGTATATTGTTTTATATGTTAAGGTAGTTTTTGGAGAAGATTATGTAACTTAAACAATATTTACACAGCTCACAAAATAAAAAAAATTGTTGTCACACCCAAAGACTTGACACATTTTTCTCTATGTATGTCATTACGCTGAATTTGAATCTAAAGTCAGAATTGAGCCACAACCCTCTGTTGTTTTCTAAATCTTGAAAAAAACAAAACACTGTGACATTGTATATTTTTGTTTACAATGGTTGTTGTCAGACCCAAAGACTTGACACGTTTCTCTATGCATGCCAATGCGTTGAATCTGAGACAGAATTGCGCCACCACCTGCCAGGTTTTTTTTTAATCACAAGAAACCACTGTGAAATTTACACTTTACAATTTAATGTTGATTTTTTATGATTTATAAAACCTGGATGGTGGTGGCGCAATTCTGACTTCACATTCAAATTCAGTGCATCTGATTAGGTGTACAGAAGTATGTGTCAATACTCTGAGTCTGACAACAACCTCAAAAAAAACAACAACAACAACAACAACAACAACAACAACAATAATTTCACAGTGTTTTTTCGTAGTTTAAATAGAACTGGAGGGTGGTGGCTGAATTCTGGCTTCAAAATTCGTCATGTCGACATACATAGAGAAATATGTGTGAATTCTTTGGGTCTGACACCTTTTTTATTTTGTGTGCCTGTGTTATTGTTAGTTCATGAACAAAATTCTGTCTTAAAGGTCCATATCTCCTCTTTCAAACGGTCTTGTTCCAAAATATATGTATTTTGCCTCCTCACTCTAGATGCCACCTTTTCACGTTCTTGTGGTGTCTCAGTTTCTAAGCTAATGTATCTTTATAAACAAGGCTAGTTATTGAGTAGCATTGAAAGTAATACCCAACCATTCAATTTTATCCAGTTTATTATTTTGAAAGTTAAAAGAAGTTCGTAGATGCAAAAAGTATTTCTCATACTACATGTTTAGAAATAATGTAACTGTACCAGCAGTCACAAAAGATATAGAGGAACAGAATTAAAATACATAAAATACAAGTTAAACAATTAAATTTTACAGTATTTTGTGATGTATCTTAACCAAATGTCAACTAAAATAGTTAAAAGTGCGCTATAATGTTCTGTACAAGCAGTTCTTTAAATAGATCATTGCAGGGAGCTTTGAAACGTTTCAGTTTTTTTAAAATAATCAATTGTATTAAACAGAAATATAATTAATAATATATGTATAATTATTTTTATGTTGTTTATCATTATAATGTTAAAATTAATTATATATTTTTTATGCATATTTTGTCATATTTTTTTTGCAGGTTACAACGCAAGAGGCACCTAAAATACAGCCCAAAGAAACAACATTTGGAGAGGAGGATGATACTGTGATGAATGTAAAGCCTATGCAGCCATTGTTACGAGGCTATACCGGTGGATTAGTAATGCATGGTCGCAGTCTGGGACCTAGCATTCATCATTCATCTCGGTTGGGTAGGTTTCTTTCTTTGTCGATAAATTCGTATCATAAATTAATGTATTAATGTCTTTTAGACTTAATTGTAGAATCAGAAGAATTTATTTGAACATTTCCTCTTTCAGGTTTTGATAATGGGTTGAAGTGTATGAATTATTCCCAGGAACTTGGTTTGAATCGAGGCATGGACCTGAAGCGAGGAATTGCTGATGGTGATTATAGTGATATAGATGTTGCTGCAGGTGAGATATATCAGTGTAGTTTATTCAAAAGCGAAGTACTTTTATTAGGTAAAAAAATTGACCTGTGATAACTGCCCATGAAATGTGAACTGAATTGATGTAATAAGGAAAAAACTAAAGTAGTACAATTGTGTACATTTTGTAAGCATTCAATTATTTTTAGCAAATTGTCAGAATTAGTAATTAGAATATTTTGCAACCTACACTGGCCACTTTTGTATATGTAACTGATAGAGCCTATTTGTCAATGGTTGCAGTATTGCGGTTAAAAAGGAGGTGCCTAATATCAAATGTCATGACATACAAAAGGCTGATATCTCTACATTGTACTGTGTATTGTAACCACGTGGGTTGTCTTGACCAAAATAAATAAAATTAAACATAGATCACTTGGCAATTTAAGAAGATACTTTTTGAGTTATGTTTCCCCGTTTTTTGTGAAAAAATTGTAAACTTTCCCCCAAGTGTTCTCTGAAAACTTTTATCTATGCACAAATTTGATAGGTAATACTACACATTTGCATTTGGTGTGATTCCATTTTAAATTTTGTATGATGAAAATTTTAAAACCTTTTGAAGGATATTTTTCTAAATTTCTTATTAATTTTTATGTATTTTTAGATTCAGTGTCTTTTTATATTGTGCTGATTGTGTTTTTTGTCTTGTTTCTATTATGTGTGGATTTATTAGTAATGAATATTTTAACTGTCTTGTAATGGTGAGTTTGAAAACTTATTTGTTTGTAAAGCATACCAGTATTTTTAAATTGTTTATGTAATGAAGTACAAATATTTTAAAGAAACAAATTAACAAATACTTTTCGTGATGTATACTGAATTTCTCTCATAAAGATTGTCAAAGGGAGGGGGAAGAGATTTGGTTTCAATAAGTGTTTATCATTAAAAACATTGAAAACATTGGCAACTAGACATAGGACACACTGTCTCCCAGACAGCCATTACTCTATCATTATAAATATTTTCTCCTTATACACTAAATTAATAGGATTCAATTCATACTCATAAATATATCAATATAGTGAGAGAAAAGTCAAAAAAATATCACTGGAAACAGCCTAACAAATGGATGTATTTCAAATTTATGAAACAGCTGTTTTAATGAAACCATTATTCTTTCAAATTGTTGTCATGAACTATTCTGCTAGTTGCACTGCTGATGCCATTCGTGAACTGTCAATAGACATTTGATTTCTTTTTCAAAGAGAAATTCGTTGTTCTTGACATTGAACCAGTAACACAGACATAATCCACTTCAAAGAAAATAGAAGTTGACAAACAAAAACATACATATGTAAGAAATTAAATTATTTGTTTTCAATTGTTCAGTGATGTGATTTTATAATTTATTGTTATTATTTTATAGTCTACAATCAATTATTGAAATTAAAGTTGAAATGGCCAATGACATTATGTGCAATGTTCTTAAATCTAACAATTATTCTCCGAGATCAAGTGAATCAAGAGACCAAAGATTTCCATTTTAAGAGGTGGTTTGTCTTTCTAATGTATGTTGCTGTAAATATAATCCAATTGTATTTGGTCGATATCTATTTTAACCGCACAGTGTTGAGAATTCACATAAACTCATGTTCATTTCTTGACAAGAATTTATCTGTTAACATAAAGTAGAGATATTGCATATTTTCAAAAACTAGTAAAATTTTTCTTTCAGAGAGTCTTACAGACTAAACAGATTTGGTAAAGGATTTTTAATCTGGCTCATTACTGTAACTGAAAATGTGGTAATTGTAGCTTGATGAGCTCTTTAAAACACTTTTATCTGAGTTTTAATTTATCTGAATCATCAAAATTCAAATTAATGTGGAATGAATTTTGTGAACACATTTGGGGTCAACAACCTCCTTGGGGTTGACATTACAAACTTATGAATGTGTTTGATATAATGTTTTTTTTTGTATGTCTTTTTTATCTATGATCTTTTAGTTGTAATGTTTGAGAAGTTAAAGCAAAGAAATTATTGAATCAATTTTTCCAAAGATAGAAAATTTTGATCATTCCCTTTACATTTGAGAAATTTTCAGTAAGTAATGCAATAATGCAAGGTTTCAAGACAAGTAAATTCTAATTCCATAATAAATTTCACTCAGTTTCCAATTTTTCTTTGACTTTTTATAAATATTATTGAAATTTCTGGGTTGTGTTCAATGAAGTAGATACTCTGCTAGTCGAAATAAATATTAAGTTAAATTTAAATAAATAATGTGTAGATTTTGCTGGTTAGACTCGGATATTGCTGCTTATGATATTTCAAATAACTTATCTTTTGTGTGTATCTTGTATCAAATTACTTAAATGTTACATTGGTAATAGTGTATATCGTACTTGAACACTAGTGTTACCAGCTGCAGAGGCCCACCCATGATGGTTTTATATAGGTTTCAGTTATTTTAGGGACATGCTTTTGATAAAAATACTATACAATTTATCACAAGAGTTGGTTATAGTGTGAATTATTTAGTCTTTGGCTGTGGATAAGGAAAATTCAAGTCTGTTCACTCAAAAACAGAATACATTTTGGTAATATTTGTAGTATTTTAAGTGTTAGTGTTATGAAGTTGAATTCATTGGTATGTTATGAAGATACATCAGCTTTTATTTGACATAAAAATGTAATAGGTTTTGTCATTAAATATGCAGGAGGCAATTGATATTTGATGCAAGAAAGTCATTATTTTTTTCTTATACTGAAACAGAAATTTAATAATGTTTTTTGTTTTAACGAATGAACATGTTATTAGTTACTGTATATCAATTTATTAGTATATCAGAATCATCGATGACATAAAATAAAAATCGATGACATAAAATAAAAATATAAGCAGTGGTCTCCGAAAGCCCTCCCTTAGTTATGCACAGGACCTTTAATACCGTGGTATTACTGGCGTTAATGTTAATAATTTAATGACTGGAATAACTTAATTTGGGCTGAATAAATAAGAATGATGTATGTATTTTGTGGTTGTTTTGTTGTTTGAAAAAGTATGAAGTATGTTGTTCATTCGCAGTATGTTGTGGCTAATTCATTAATTAGCAAAATGAAGATAAAAATTAGATATGGGTTTTTTTGAGATAAAATTAATGTATAATGAACAGTAATTTAGTACACATTTTTAGATTGAAGTATAGTTCTGTATATAGAAAATTTTGACATATTATCTCTCTTTTCAGGGTACTTATCTGATAGCGACATGGTGAGAATGTCTATGATGTCTCGCCAGCTTCCAGATTTGTGCGATGGTTATATGTCTGAAGGTGGCACATCTTTATATGCAAGATCACATCAAATGCTGTATCACGATAGCAGGTGAGTTGTTGAATGTTGTTCGCTTGTGGAATGCTACTCAGTGGTGCCTAATTCTGTGATGACATCTCATAGTTTCTGCATGAATACATGCTTCCTTGCCCTGTAATTGTTTGCAGTGTTGCATATGGATATGCATTTCTTAATACATGAATAAATTTCTTTGAAGTTAACTCTATTAAACATCTCACACAAGTGTGAAATTTATTTTGAAAACCGTGGATTATTTTTCAAAATAATTTCATTAGTGGTTCAAGTTGCTTGTTTTTGTTGGAATGTGTCTCACTAACAGAGAAATGTTAAGCACTTAGTTTCATTTGATAACATCTGTGATTTTAATACCTTATGGCTCTGCATTTTGGAATGCTGCAAGAAAGTAAATACATTGTTTACGTATAATAAATATTGAAATGTATCTTTACACTAACTGTTCCATTATGTGTTTTTAATTTGTGGAAGGTATTTTCACAATTTGTTGCCCCTGAAATCTGAAGTCTTATTTTTTTATGTTTTGAAGCAACATGTTATTGCTTATTGCAATTTACTACTGATGAGTTATTAATGAAACTTGAAAAAAATCATAAATTTATTACTATTTTTTGTACAAGTAACTGCAGGGAATTAATGAATAAAAAAAATAGTAAAGATTTCATGCACATATACAAGTCCTGTATAGTTCATTGTTAATCATTATGCTATTAATGTAAAAGGATACCTCAATGTTATATTTCATGATAATTTTACAGATTATTTAGTAGACATTGAATGTGAAATATAGTTTCTATGAATAGAAAATAAAGTTAGTCATACTTTAAGAACTGAATGTGTTAGTGAAACAGCACCCTTTCATCCACTCTGCCTAGGCTTAAATGTCAGTTTAAGAGAGTAAACCACCATAAGAGTCAGTTTAGAGAGTGTAGTTGGAGGTTATGGATAGTTTTCACGAGATATTTAGTTTGTTCCAATAAAAATTGGTTTCATGTGAATATTCTGCAGTTAATGGAATGAGAAAAATAATGGGGAGTTAAACCACTCAAGCACAAGTTTGCCAACTTTTGCAAAATGAATGCAATAATTTCTGTGTGTCACTCACTGACCATGCCACCCAACATGATTTGCCAAAAATTAATGTCAAAATAATCACTTATTTTTGTACAGAGCATATTGAAAAATAATATTGTGAAAGTTGCTTTTTTAAATGTTCTTTTTGAATATTTTATATTCCTCGTATAATGTTTGAAGAGAGTTGAAAAAAATTAATTTGTCATTTAACAAGTTAATACAATTATGTACTTAATTTTTCTGTATACGTTGACACTATTTTATGGGTTATTTTGAGGTTCTATTTTGCAATTGCAGCTCTGAAATAAAAAGCCTGTCCATGAATGTGTTTTGTTTAAATTGAAGTCACCATGAGAATTTGACTTCAGTTACAGAGCTTTGTGAGCCATAATATTGCCCTTTATTATAGACTTTCTTGGGAGTGCTGATTGGTGAAACTGTTCTCCATTCTTGCTTTAATAGGCTATCTTCGAAAAATTTTCATTAATCTTCATTTGAGCTCATTTTCTTTTACAAAGTTGATTTTTCTTGTAATTCCTTTAATTCAATTCCCATTCTGCTTGGTGGTATGATTTATCATGAAATGATGATTATCGTTCAATCATCTCAGTCCATTTGCAGTTCACACTTTTCAAAACAACGTGGAGAATGTAGAGTTTTGACTTTTTATTTCATTTTAATCACAAATAAGAACATATAATATTTATCACTGTATCACACTTAAGCAGATTAACTTGAAGCCAAGTCAAATTTATTTACAAGACATTGGAATCATAACAGGGCCAAAGAAAATATTAATTCTTTAAAATTATGTACCCAATTGCAAAATCATTCATAAAATTGATTGTTTTTAGTGCACTATTTCCAATGTGCACATTCACTTCCTTATAGTTAGAGGACAATCAAAGTACATACTTAATTAATGAAGGAAAAAGTTTGAGAATGAATTAGTGACATTACAGTGTTTAAAGAGTCATTTCTGTTAAAATACTATGTTCTGTTATTTCTCTGTTTAAAATTAGAAACGAAATACAAGATGAATTATTAAACAAAGATCTTTTAATCATTCAATGATAACATTACCTTTATTATACCTGTTAACAAACATTTAATTTTTTATTGAATTTCATACGCGTCAATATTTAATAGTGGGTGGCTTCTTTTGCGGAACCTTTGCTGTCACATGTCAGGCGTGTCATAAGCACTGACAGTGAGTATGAGAATTCTGTCAGTGTATGCCATACAAGAATAGGCGAAATAACTCAGACAAATGTTTGCATTATTAAATCAAAATTGAATTATATTTTTTTTGATTTTCCCCCAAGTTCCTAGTTGTTTAATATACACATAGACACCTCTCACATGGCCGGAGGCTGCTTAGTTTTCTTTTAGTTATTTCTGCGTGCATTGGAAAATATGTAATACAGATAGAAAATTAAAATATCTTTATGAAATATTATTTGTTGTGTAGGTATTCTTGCGTTAATGCTGGGGCTTCCATACAATGAAGTTGTATTCGTAGATAAACATGTGCAAACAGGTTGAGGTAGTCTGATCTATAAAATTCACCACACGCCTATCAATTAAAGAAAAATATTATTATATTTTATATATTAATGATTTATTACATTTTTGTTTGTTATGCTACAAAAAAATCATATTAAAAGATAATTAATGCCCACTGGAAGGATAAAGTATGTTTCATTGTTTTTGTACATAGTCCTGCAAATAGGCTATATTTCAATATACATAGGGGCAATATATTTAATACATGGCTTTAATTAAATCGTTGAAAATTGGAAACTAGCAAATACAAAATTAATCTCGTCTTGGTTTCTTTTGTAAAAGCTAGATCTTGGAAGAAAAACACAGGAGTTCAACTTTGTATTGTAACTGTTGTTAAAACCATTAGGGAAGTGAAGAAGGGGTTTAGGATGAAATTTTCATTAAAATGAAAAGAAAAAAAGAAAAAAATACTGCAATTTTAATTAGATTAATTTTTTTTTTTTCATGTGGAACTACTCCTATCAAAGAAGACTAGAAATGAAGTAATTTTTGTACAGAGTATTTAAAAGGAAACAGTTAAAATACTTCTCCGAATACTCAGTAAGTATTCACTGGGAACGACATCCAATTGCCCATTTCTCTAACTATAAATAATAGGAGTTCAAGTAGACGCTCATTTATTCAAAGATATCATTGCCGTCGTCAATCCGCACGTTTCGTGGGACGTCCTGCACGTACAGCTTGGGGGGAGGGGAAGGGGGCAATTTTCCTGAATTTTCCGATGAAACGTGCCCGTCGCCGATTTCCTTCATTAGAAGGTGCCTCATTATCGGCGAGGGGAAAACTTTGCGACGCCGCTCTCGCCTTCCGAGGGACCGCGGCGGCGGCGCCGGCGGTTCTTCTGGCGCGCCTTGTGGAAATCAATACGAGCTTGACGGATAGAGTGCGGAGGGTGTGAGGGGGTGACGTCACCGCATTGCTTTCGGCCGGCGAGAGAGGCAGGCAGGTCGGCAGGCAGGCTGGAGTGTGCGCTGGCGGAGGGTGGGTGGTGAGGGGGGCGGGGGGCCGCCACAGCGTGTGAGGGGCCCTTTGGGACAGCAGCAGCAGCATCAGGTCGTCGGCGGCGGGACCCTCCGCTCCTCTCCGGCCTGGCTGGGTCTCTGTCGCGCGCGAGCGGCTTCAACAAGTCCTCTCGTGGCCCCGTGCACGCGGTGTGCGGCGCGGCGCCGCGGCTTTGAAGCGCGTTTTTGCCCGTGACAGTTGGCCCAGGTGGCGCAGGCGGTTTCGCCAGGTGGAGAGGCGGGATTCACGCGTCGCGCGGAATTGAAGGTTCGCGGTGGGTGGCGTGGCCGCAAGAGGAGAGACAGAGTTGTTGGGAGGTGCCTGTGGCTTGACGGGCGACCCAGGGGGCGGGGCTCTGCGAAGTCCAAGAGTCGATGACTCGTGTCCGATGCCGGGTTAAGCGTCCAATCATGTTAATGGAGGCTTTTATTCATTTCATTCAACGCCATTTTATTGTGAGGAGGAGATAGGAAGGTGGGTCGATCTGTCATTCACAAAAATAGTCTTCTTCTTCTTCTTCTTCTTCTTCTTCTTCTTCTTCTTCTTCTTCTTCTTCTTCTTCTTCTTCTTCTAATAATAATAATAATAATAATAATAATAATAATAACAACAATAATAATAACTCCATATCATTTGTTGACACTGAAGAGGTAATCATCGGGATCGGCAATTTTTCTTTTGGCGACAGTTTTGTGTGCTTCTATTAATTCACTATCGACACTGGCAACTATGTAATTTCATATTTACTTTCGTAGTTTCTAGAGTAGTGTAAAACTGAGGATTCTTTAATAATAATAATAATGATAATAATAATAATAATAATAATAATAATAATAATAATAATAATAATAATAATAATAATAAAAGTTATATGACAAGGTAAGGTCATCTTGATCTCGTGTAAGAAATATCGGTACTTCTAAGGTCGGGACTTGATTGCCGGTAATAAGAATCGCGTGACCTGATTCTGCGTGGGGCATGCATTATTAATTTTCGTTTAGCATATGGATGTGGTGTGCCGAGAGACAACGCAGGGGTCGAATTTTCCTAATCCTCACCCTATCGTTCTTTAGAATCTAATTCCCCCATTGTCACCGCAGTGGACGCTAGGAGATGCATTGTAGGCCATTGGGACTGGCGTTGAGAAATGAACGCTTTTGGAATATTGTTGAATTTTGTTCAGGAACGTTAAGGCCTGGATTAATAAAGTCGAAAATCGAATTCGAACGCCCAAAAGAAGTCGATTTCCCGTGTCAGCAGATGGTTGCATTACAACGGGAACCTGCATTCAGTAAATAAACACTGGGTATCTTATCCTGAAAACAAACAGGAAACTATAAAAGGACTCGTGATAAGTATACGGAAGATTTGCT